CGGCCTCTCTGAGCAGCCAGGGCACTGCCTCCAGCCTTCCCAAACGGTTCACACCCCCCTCCCCCACCGTGCCCCAGGAGCGCAGAGGGCCGCAGCGCCTCGGCGGGCTCTCACTGTGCTGGGACTCTGTCTGTATAGTTCTCTCTAGTGTACTTGTGTATGCACTGTAGGTACCAGAGCGGTTTCTGGGTGTGCGTTTCCGTGGCAGCAGTGCACGTGGGGGGTGGGGGGTGAGTAAGGCGGGACTTTTAGGTTAAGATGTTTCCACTGGTCTTGTCCTTGGGCTGGAGGCCGAGCTGGAGCACCACCGGCCCTCTCCAGGCGAGGGGAGGAATCGTCCCTCTGTGGTTCCCAGGATGTTCTCGTCGTCCCGGGGCGCGGAGGGCCCTGCCCAGGGCCAGTGAACACTACGATGGGGCAGCAGGTCCTCAGGCATCCAGGGGCCGCCGCGCACTTGGCGCCTGGTCAGACTGGGGGCCACCTCCAGGAGCAGACCTCCTGGCCTCCACCAGCCACAGGCCATGACGTGTGTCGCCCCCCACGGCTCGTCCTCTTCCTCCTTCCATAGGATCCTCTTCCTCCCTTCTGTTGTTGGAGTCTTCGAACTTTGAAAAAATGAGCTTTTGCCAAATAAGACGGGATAGTTTGTGGAGTTTTTTTGAGGAGCGTCAGGACTCAGAGCCAGCCCCTCGTGCCAGGGCCCAGCCAGTGGCAGGCCTTTCTGGGCACACCTGTCTCTGGTTTAGGCTCGGCCCTCCCACCCCTGCGAGTCACACCAGTCCAGAGACCCAACTCCTCGCATGCCTGAGACTCTCCAAGGGCCAAACTGGTTCCTCCTCCCTCTCAGCCAGGATGTCCTCATGGCGTGAGCCCACCTTGGGTGGGGCTCCTGGGGGCTGGGACCCTGTTTGCTCAGCCTCTATTCCCCAGATCTCGACTCAAGGCTCCCCCTGCCCCCCACCAACCTTTGCCCTGAAGGAGATGTGGGGAAAGGACAGGCCCGGAGGTGAGCTCACCCTCTCCCCCCAGCCCACTGTCAGGGCCTCTCCTCCCCCCAGTTCATGAGTTCCCATGCGGGGAGTGCCAAGCTCCCCTTCCCTGTGGTTCCCAACTGTCGTGTGTGTCTCCGATTCCAATTCCGTCTGTCAGGCAGACCCTAAACACTCCCTGGGGAGTCCTGCCTCCAAGACTTTCCCAAACTTCAGCCTCCCTGGTGAAATCCCCAGAACTCGCCGGGAAGGCCCGAGAACTTTTCAGAGGAAACCTCCATGACTCCTCGCCATCTGCTCCGATTCTCTCCTGGCCCCACTGCCTTGAGGTATTAGGAAGAGGGCAGGCCTGTGTGGCAGGCTCCGTGCTGTCACCGTCCCCTTCCCCAGGCAGGCCAACAATACTCCAAAGTGGGGCATCTTTCTTCTCTGGAAACTCTAAGACATTGGACAGAAGGAACTGGCCTGACATGGGCTACACGGAAGGCAGCAGCTGCCCAGCCCTCCGTGCACAGAGGGCTGCTGGGGGCCATGGCCAGGAGCCTGAGCTGGTCCTTCCCCCTCGGGAGCATCTCCTGGGAAGGGCCTCAGGCCCTCCTGAGCTCCACACGGCGACTTGGGCAGCGCCCTGCTCCGGAGCCGGGCTGTGCCCAGGGAGCAGCTGGAGGAAGGCCAGGCCTTGGCCTGCCCTCAGGAGCAGCAGCGTCTGGCCCCCCTGCTGTTTCTGGGGCCTTCGGAAGCACCAACCCATTTCTCAGTTACCTCCTCTGGCCAGAAGGCCCCAGCGCTGTCCCCCAGGGCTGCTCTGGGCCCAGTGCTGGCCCCGCGATCACCTGATGGACGCACCAGGCAACCAGGGCCCTGACCGCAGCATTCCCAGCTGCTCCCCCGCCCCGCCCCCCAGCTGCCCGGCAGCTGGGCCTCCGAGGGCTCTGGGGACACTTCCATAGGAAGGGGCCGGCACTTTGTGATTGCCGCGTGTTTAGTGTTAAGCCCCCTGCCCCCAGTGCAAATCCCTGTGTTTTGCTATCTCCTGAACAAAATGTAAACCGACACCTGAAAGCAAAAGGTATCGAATACCTTTTTTACCCATAAGGGTTTTTACAAAGAATGTGTCTCACTAGGAACTAGGACACTCATCGGCCCGAGACCAACTCCTGGATAAAAGGAATAAAGGAGAATCGTGTTTGTAATAAGTTACAGGATTGTTTCTGTCCTGGATTTTAAACTTTTTGTTAAATTGTGAAATTATGGAGGAGTTTTATAGAAAAAAAAAGTGAAATAAAGTCAGATGGGAAAGCAGACCTACGTGTGGAGCCTCCCTCATGCGTCCGCCTGGCTCATCCCCGAACCACCAGGAAAGGGGGGGAAGGGTGGGCGTCAGGTCTGGGCAGTAGGAGTGGGGGACGGGGGGCGCGTGAGCAAGGTTGGCATCCTGGAGGCACAGGGACGGCAGGCCTAGAAACCCGAGAGGAACCCTGGTGGACAGTTTGGTCTCGGGTCCTCTTTTTGATGGTGTGTTGTTTCCTTGGAAGCAGGCGCAAGGTTGGAGTTGAAAAACAAGCCTGACTTCACAAGATGGGGGAACGGGAGGGAGGACTGGGGGGAGGGGGAGGTGGTAGAGGGCAAGATAGGTGGAAACCCCGGGAAGTGCTCCTTTGCTGAGAGCTGGTTGGTCTGCCGAGGGCTTTGCTCTGGACTCTGAGTGGCAGAGCGGCAGAGCGGGACAGCAGGCCGCGCCGGCGTCCCCAGGAGCCTTTCTTTTTGGCTTGGGCAAAACCTCTACTCCCCTGCCCCATCTCTCCTACCAGGGGAGGATTGTGCAAGTCCTGCGGGGCAGCGTCTGATCTGAGCCCCTGCGGCAGGGGCAGGGAGCGAGGGAGGGAGGGTCCAGAGGGGTGCCCGGGGCTGCCGGAGCCCCACCACGCGGGGAAGGCCCACCTGGGGCCAAAGACCCAGCCCTTCAGGAGCCCTGGAGGGTGGGTGCTGTCGCCGGCCTCCCCACAGCCCGCGGGGCGGCATGTAGGTGCATTTCCGAGCTGCTCAAGCCCAGTCAGGTGCCACCGCAGCTGCCTGCGTGTGTGTTTGCCCCGGTGGCAACCTCCGCCTTCCCGCGGGTGCATCCGGGATCCCGGTCCTTAAGCCTGGGGAATTCGCAGCAGCATAGTGGTAAAGGCATTTCCACGGGGGTGGGGGGGGTGTTCTAGGTGGGCCGCTGGTCCCGTTGGGGGGAGTCTGCCCTCCAGACTCCTGCCCCTTTGAGTCTTTGGTCTCTGGTGCCTTTAAAGTTTCCTTTTTGTCTTCCTAGTTGAAAACCATTTCCATACATTTGAGTGCTTGGTTTCTTTCCCCCACGCAGAACCTCTCTGCCTCGACTATTTCCAAATCATAACACTTTAAATTTCTGTTTTCACGATGCAGGCTCAGGACAAGTCTGAAGGCTCCAAGGGCCCAGGCACCCTGGGCGTGATCCTCAATCCTGCCCACTCTCCGGGCCCACCTGCTCGTGTGTCCCTGGGGGCCATCATCCGCCGGTGGCCTGACCGTGCTCCCTCCCAGACGGCGGCACGGCGGGCAGGCCTGCACACGTTGCCCTCAGGACCCCTGAGAGCGCATCTCAAGTCCTTGCACAGACGACGTCCAGCTCGCCTCACCCCTCCAGCCCTGCTCTGGCCTCCCCCACCTTTCTAGGGGCTCCTCGTGGAGCATGCGACGTGGCCCTTGGTGTGTTGTGCACAGCGGCCCTCACCACGCGGAAGCCTTGTGTCTCTATCAGGCCCTTGCCCCCCCGGGGGGGGGCTTATTCCTTGCCGAGGACCACCTGCATTTCACAAGTTCTCTCCCGGCTGCTTCCAGCAGTTTGTCTTTCTCTCCCTTCTTCTCACCTTTCGGTTTGCTCTGTCTGGAGGCCACCCTAGGAGAGGCAGGGCCCAGCCCTGGTTCCCCGGATCGCCACCCGAGGTGCTCCGTCCGCAGTTACGGTCACGGTCACGGGTGAACCTGTGCTTCCCACACTTAGTGAAAGGCCACTCAACTCCTCCACACATGTGGGTTTGTTGTTTTGTTTTGTTTTTTTTCTGTGCCAGGCTCCTCTCCTCTGCGCATCTATTACTGATGCCCCATCGCTGAGCTGTCAATTAGCGCTGCTTTGTAATTTCTTTATTATCCGGTAGAACCAGTCACCCCCTTTGTTAATTATCGTCCCCTGTTTAGAATGTCCCCAGATGTGCGTGCGTGTTTGCTTTCCCACATAACCTCATCAGCTCGAGTTCTAGAACATTCCCTTTATCTCGTTCTGAAGTTTCCCGTTAACATTGTTGTTTTCATTTTAATTCAAAAAAAAAAAATTTGTCCTAGCTGGCGTTTAGGTGGGTCCCCAGAGAACCCCCAGCCGTCCTCGTCTCCGCGTGCACGCAAACAGCCGGGGAGGGGGACGTGCCTGCGGGGAGGGGGACGTGCCTGCGCCGTTAGCGTGTCTATAGTTTTCAAACTGAAGAAGCCGATGAGCATCATCAGCTCCGTTTTTTACTTTCCCAGAGCCTGCAGCATGAAACCCCTCACCCACCTCGGCACCACTGACATTTTGTGGCCGGGCAGTTTTTCATGGTGTGGGAAGTGCTGCTGGCTCCCTGTGGGGTGCTGAGCAGCATCTCTGGCCTCCCCCCACCAGCTGCCAGTAGCACCTGCCTGCCTTGGTGGGGACAACCAAAACTGCCCCCAGACATCACCACATGTGTCCTGGGGGGTGCAGGGTCACTGGGTAAGAACCACTGCTTTAGCAAAACCACATTTTATTACCCTTTTACCTTTAAATCTAAAACACTGCCCCATAGAGGGGGGGCATCTTAGTTAAAACCACCCGATGGGCACTTGGCGCTCAGAGCAGCTTCCCTCCCTCTACAATCAGCTCCTCCATCCTCCGATCATCCCCAATCATCCCCGATAGGGGGACGGAGGGAGGGGGATCAAAGCCCCGTGACCAAGCAGGAAGCCCGGGGCCTCTCCTGGCTGCTAGGACTCCTCGTCCTCCTCGTAAAATCTCTCAATTTCAGTTTGGTAGATCTTGGCCACCATGGCCCTCTTCAGTTTGGTGGTGGCCCCTGTAAGAGAATCAGGTCCAAGGCGGGGCCTCCTCTCATCCCCACTCCCCCGCAGGGGCCCCCCTCACCACAGGATGAGATGTTAGTGGGTCTGACCCGTCCTAAGGGTACAGGGGGGCACCAAGTGCCAGAACAGAGGGCGGCTTGGATGGGGGGGCCCAAGGAGGAGATACAATAGGCCCCTCCCAGAGCGCCCTGAGACTCTCCCTCCTGCACTAGGACCTGCCGCATTCCTCGGGGGTGCTGGGATCCCAGCCCTTAATGAGCTGGCCAGGGGCTTGGGTGCGGGCTGCCCCCCCCCCCAGCTCACCCAGCTCCCCTCCAGCCACGGAGAAGTCCGTCTCGAGGATGGTCCACTTGACGATCTTGGCGCTGTCTGAGCTGACCTCCGCGTTGGCGGCGTCGATCCCCTGACTGATGAACTCCAGCACCACTGGGTCTCCGTCGTAAACGATGTCCGACAGCCTGGTGGACTGGCTCCTGAGGTGCCGGCAGAAGGCCACCGCCTCACTGGTCAGCGCGTTCCGGGGCTCCCCCGTGTCCGTGTTGACTTGGCACTGACATTGGGGGGGCAACGGGGCTGGCAGTTGGCAGACTGTCCCCACGCCCACTCCCAAGCCCAGCTCCCCAGGCTGGGGCTCGCCCTCCCGGGTCACTGTCTTCTCGACCCTCCCCCGCAGAAGGGCCAGGTCCCCATCCCCCCACCCCTCATTCCCCCCCCCCCCATGGCGCAAATGAGAAAACAGGCCCAGCCTGGGGACAGTCGCCCTACGCGTCCCCGCATCCGAGGGGCTGGGAGGGCCGGGCTCCGGTCCAACTGCATTTCTCTAGAGACAGGCCAGGAGCCTCTCCCCCAGGGGCCAGGCCCGTCCCCGGGCTCGGCTTCCCGTCCTGACCCCGGCCGGCAGGCCCCCCGGGCGGCCACGAGGCTCCAGGCCAGCCGTGAGGTACCTTCAGCGTGAGCAGGGCGCACAGGTAGGGCGCGTCCTGACCCACCACCACGACGTAGCGCACGATGGGAATGTGCCTCTTCACCCGCGCCTCGATGGGGTTCGGGTTGATCCTCTCCCCCGAACTGAGGGTGATGATGTCTGCGTTGGGGAAAGGGAGTGGGGCTGCGGTCCTGAAAAGCCATATCACGTCCGCTCTCCTGGAGCCCGGGCCACCCCTTCATGTTCAGAAACGACAGAGACAGAGCCCAGACACACCAAGGGCGTCCCCCCCCCCCGCCCGGCCCTCCTCCAAGCGGGACTTTAGTCTGCCCCCATCATTGTGCTGTGTGCAACCTGCACCGCTGTCCACAGCAGCCCTGTGGGGCCTGGTCGGAGGCAGCACCTGGCAGCCCTGTCTGGCTCACCTCTGGCGTTGCCCACGATGTAGAGGAATTCGTCAGTGTCCAAAAACCCCAGGTCCCCCGTGTGCAGCCAGCCGTGGACATCAATCTTCTCCTGGGTGTTCTCCTCGTTGTTGAGATACCCCATGAAGACGTTCCGGCCCCAGATGTGGATGTCCCCAATGCCCTCCTCGTCTTCTCTCTGCATCTTGGTGTGGGTGCTGGGGAGGGACTTCCCGCAGCTGGGGACAGTGACAGGGAAGGGGTGTCACAGACACTCCGGGTACAGATGCCCCCTGGCATAGGGGCGCCCCTGCTCCATGCTCCTCCTCCCCCAGGCACCCAACTGGGGGCAGAGATCCTATTCCTTCCAGAGCCCTGCCCATCCGCAGCAGGGGGCAGATGCACAAGGGGAAGGGGGTGTGCTCCCCCAGGTTGAGGGAATGTTCGGCCCACCCTGACCTGGAGCCAAGCTGGCAGGGAGCCCACAGGTGAGCAGAGGGGACAAGGCAAGAGGCAGATAAACTCAAGACACCTTTCGGTGCAGCTGGCTGCCGTGGAAGGTACCTGGGCAGGAGAGGAAACCCTACAACCCAGGCAAGGATGAGGCATCTCACCTGCCTCCTCCCCCGGAGTGTTTCCTTGACCCCCCCCCCAGGGAGGTTGGTTGGGGGGGTTGGGGGGGGAGCGGGCTGGAGCTTCACCTCTCACAGCTGGAGGTTCCCAGCCAGGCACCTGGACCCTGCCCCGGGGCCTTGCCTGCTTTCTCCCCGGGCTGTCTGGAGGCTCAGGGCAGGGCCTCAGCGCCAGCCTGGCCCACGCCCAGGACGCAGCCTGCATGCACTGAACTGGGTCACCCCCCCCTCCGAAAAAAACTCCCTGAGCCCCAATGGGATGGTATCTGGAGGTGGTTGGGTTTGGGTGAGGTCCCAAGACAGGGAACTCCGTAGTGGGACTGATGTCCTTTAGGAGGAGGCGCCAGAGGGGGCTTGCTGTCCCTCCCCGGCGTGCAGACACGGAGAGAAGCTGGCCGGCCGCAATGAGCGGGGAAGAGGCCCTGCCGCCCACGGCCGAGTCAGGGACACCTTGATCTCGCAGCCTCCAGAACTGAGACTAAAGCTCTGAGCGTTTTTTTTTTTTTTTTAAACTTTTTTTTTAAATTTATTTATGATAGTCACACACACACACACAGAGAGAGAGAGAGAGAGAGGCAGAGACACAGGCAGAGGGAGAAGCAGGCTCCATGCACCGGGAGCCCGATGTGGGATTCGATCCCGGGTCTCCAGGATCGCGCCCTGGGCCAAAGGCAGGCGCCAAACCGCTGCGCCACCCAGGGATCCCTCTGAGCGTTTTTTAATTTAATTTTCTTTTTTAAAGCCCCTGGCCTGTGATGCTCTGTCAACAACAGCCGGGAACTGAGACCCACTCCGTGAGAGCCGATGCCCAGCCCCTCGTTCACGGTCAGACGCTCCCGCAACGAGCAAAGTGCCCAAGGAAGAATGGAAAATCGAGAGGCTCCCCGCTGTCTTATTCTGGAAGCATCCAGGGCTGCTCTGATGGCAAGCCCGACGCCCCGAGTGGCAGGGCTTCCTGCCGGCCGGCTCCCTGCTCTAACCCCAGCGATGGGCACCACCAGCAGGCGTCGAAGTGTCCACTCCACCCGCATCGAGCGGGCTCCCCAGAAGAGCATCGCGGAGCCGTGGGCTGGCCACTCCACATACCGCCACCCATGCGGCCCAGAGCTCTGGCCGAGTCCCCTGTCCTCTCTTCAGCCTCCATGCCCGTCCGCCCTCTGCCCTTGCCTCCCTGGGTTCGGGGGTTCAGGAGACGCCGTGCCTTGTGCCTGGCTCTCCGTCCGGTCTCTGCTGAAAGTCGCTCCCGTCCCCCCAAAGCCAAGGCACTCTAAGGACGGCGACGCGGGTGGTCTCCCTGACCGAACGCTGGGCCTGCTCTCGCTAGCCCTTGGCCCGGGTCTCGAGAACCGCAGGCTCTGAGCGCAAAGCCTTTCATCCACTCCCACAGAGACACTTGGGAACACGTCAGCATTTCGGCAGCTCGGGCTGCCTCCCCGGGTGGCTGGGGCCCCCTGACACCCCTGCCTGGGAAAGCTCCAAGCTGCCGGGGACTTTCCCAGCCGCCCCTAACCTACCCCATTACTAGCTACTTTAGCAGGCTTGCGGATGAGTCCTTTCTCTGGCCCTTGAGATGCAAACCTACCACCCGGCACCGACTCCTCTCTTGCGAAGGAAACATCCAGGGAGGTAACTGGCTCTCTCCTCCTGTGCTTTTGGGAAGCCTGGGCCCCCCTCCCCCCACGGAGGGCAGCGTGCTCTGGCCTCCACCTCCTGCCACAAAAACGGAGAAGCTCCGGCCTACAGGCCCGATGGGCTTGGTTAGTGAAGCTCCCGCCTTCCCGCTCTGCGTAACTGCCACTTCCCAGGCCGCCCAGGCCCCCACCGCCGCCCCTGCCCCCGCAGACCCCTCGAGGCCGCCCTGACCCCTCGACGCAAACCGAAGGGGAGGTCGAGTCACTCTGGGCCCTTCTCACTGCAGGAGCGGTTGTGGATAAAATCAGAGTGTGGTCCCCATTGCTCTGAGTGGTGTCTGGCTTTATCTTTGAAAATGGTCACCCCGGGGTCGTAGGCAGAGAGGTGAGCCCCAGGTTAAGAAGACTGAGGGCAGGAGAGAGAGCCAGCACACCAAAAGGGCCCTGACGTATCCAAGTCCCCTGTTTTGTCCTTTTTTATTCAACATGCTGAGTCTCCTGGGAAATGGGGGAGGGGCTGAACTAAGGTATAAATCAGTGCGTTGGTGGCGGCAATAGCAGGGCTGGACGGCCTGACCCCTCAGATGTGGCAGAAATAATAAAGTGCCACTTCTGAGGTTAGGTCATAATTGGGTTGTCAGATCAAACATAAGATGCCTGGTTATATTCCGATGACAAATCTTTGTATTGGTGTTAGTATATCCCAGCTATTGCAAGGGATATACTTATGCTTAAGAAAAAAAAAAGGTTGTTTGCAATTCAAATTCCCTGGGTGTCCTGTATTTTTATTTGCTGAATCTGGCCATCCTAGTCCTAAAGGAGAGTGTGGCTTCCCTGGGGTCTCCTGTATGGGGGGGAGCCGTCAGCCATGGCAGGGGACCCCCAAGTGGCCTATGGATGGCTTGGTCTAGCCAAGAAGCAAAGCCTCCTGCTGAAAGCCAGGAGGGCGGACGCCTGGGTGGCTCAGCGGGTGAGCGCCTGCCTTTAGTTCTAGGCGTGATCCCAGGTCCCGGGATCCAGTCCCGCCTTGGGCTCCCTGCAGGGAGCCTGCTTCTCCCTCTGTCTGTGTCTCTGCCTCTCTCTGTGTGTGTTTCATGAATGAATGAATAAATAAAATCTTAAAAAAAAAAAAAAGCCCCAAGGACCTGAGGCCTCCTGCTTGTGGCCTTGGAGGAAGCCCGCCTCCGAGCGGTTCCTCCAGCCTTGGTTGAGCTTTCGGATGAGGCCGCCCCGGCCCACAGCTTGGGGGCGAGCCGGTGAGGGCCTCCCAGCCAGGACCGTGCAGCCGCAGGAGCAGCTCCCAAACTCCTGACCCACAGAGACCAGGGACTCCTGTTTGTTGTACCAAGCGGCTAAGTTTGAGGGTAATGTCTCCGCAGCTGTGAATGTGTTCTCCCCCGAGGGGCCAGGGTGTCCGAAATTATCGGCCATTAGTAAAAACAGTTTGCAAATTAAAAAATGAATCAGAAGGGCCTCCGGTTCCCCCCCCCTCCCCACGTGGGTTCACTTGCTTTTACTCCTTGGGATATGCCTTCCTTGGTGGGAGAAGAACGGAGTAGGGTGACCACGTGCACCCGGCCAAGGAACAGGGGTTCAAGGTCAACCCTGGCCATCCCCCCTGCCCTACAACCCTGTCCCCCGTCTGCCCATCCCTCCACCAAGACCCACCTCAGCAGCCGGAAGTCCTGCTGCCTGGAGAGCGTGTGGATGCCCGTGCTCTCGGACAAGCCGTACAGCTCGAAGATGGGCATGTTGAGGCTGAGGAAGTAATCCATGGTGGCTCTGGGGAGCCCCAGGCCCAAGTTGAAGAACTGCCGGCAGTGATGCAGGCCCAGGGACTTCCTGGCTTGGTTGAAGGTCAGCTTCTTGGCCAGGCTGAAGCACAGCGGCGGATGGAGCTGCCTTGAGGAACAGACATGAGGTCGCGGAGGTGGGCCTGGGGACTCTGGGCTGGCCCCTCGGGCAGGGACCCCCCCCATGGACAGCCCCGAGACCCAGCCTCACCCCAATATCCGCCTTTTGTTTGTCCTGAGGCCCAGCCACATGGCCCACTTGTCTATCCTCCTCCGGAATGGGCTCGAGGCGAGCTGGTTGGTCTTGAGGCTGTCAAGCAATCTGTCCCAGACCCAGGGGACGCCGTGGAACGTGGTGGGCTTCACCTCCTGCAGCGTGTCGACCAGGGAGCCCTGCAGTGCACGGCACGTGGGCACCCGGCTGACCCTGCCTCGGCGGCCCCGGGCCCTGCCTGCCCCCCGGCCCCCGGCCCCCCACCCCCAGGGCTGGCAGCCGGTCACCGCCACGGCCAGAGCTCAGAGGGGGTGGCAACGACCCACTGCTCCCAACCCCCATGAGGGGACACACAGGATCCGTGTCCTCCTCCACGTGGCTCAAGCACGAGAGATTCAGTCACACTGTTGGCGACTTCTGGGGTCCTGTCCACCCTCTCCCGGAACTCTCAGTCTGGGGCAAGGGGTGGGTGGACAAAGGACGGGAGTGGAGGGTACAGAGATAGGGAGCCCAGAGACACGCAGAGATTAAGAGATGGAGGGAGAAAAAAAGAGAGAGAGAGATGGAGGGAGAGAGAGAGACACGAGGAGACAAAGAGACAGGGAGGGATGGCGGGAGAGAACAGGACGCATGTGGGGGACAAACTCCAGTTTTGTCACTCTTTCCACATCTTATCAGTCACCAAGAAAGATTCCTCAGCAGCCGCAGCCGACATGCCAGCAAGACAGGCTGGAGGTCCAAGTCAGGACTGAAGCGGCGCCGAGCCCCCTGGTGCCCACGGAGTCGCCCGTTCCACCCGCCAGGGCAGCAAGGGCCAACGATGGCCCCAAGGCCCGGGGAGCTGGCTCTCACTTTTTTTTTTTTAAGATTTTATCCATTTGGGGATCCCTGAGTGGCGCAGCGGTTTGGCACCTGCCTTTGGCCCAGGGCGCGATCCTGGAGACCCGGGATCGAATCCCACATCGGGCTCCCGGTGCATGGAGCCTGCTTCTCCCTCTACCTGTGTCTCTGCCTCTCTCTCTCTCTGTGTGACTATCATAAATAAATAAAAATTAAAAAAAATATTTTATCCATTTATTCAAGAGAGAGACAGAGGCAGAGACATAAGCAGAGAGAGAAGCAGGCTCCATGCAGGGAGCCTGACCCGGGACTCGATCCCGGGACCCCAGGACACACCCTGGGCCGCAATCAGGCGTTCAACCACTGAGCCCCCCGGGCGTCCCTGGCTCTCACATTATTAAAAGGTCTCTAAAGGGGCGCCGGGGTGGCTCAGGTGGTTAAGCATCTGCCTTCGGCTCGGGTCATGATCCCGGGGTCCTGGGACTGAGCCCCGGGTTGGGCCCCCTGCTCAACGGGGAGCCTGCTTCCGCCTCTCCTCCCTGCTCCTACTGTCATTCACCCACTATCAAATAAATAAATAAATAAATAAATAAATAAATAAATAAATAAATAAAATCTAAAAAAATAAATACATACAAGGCCTTTAAAGAGTTCTAAGGAGAATATCTCGTGACACGCGAAAATATGAAACTGAAGCTTTCGCGTCAGTAACGTTTTCCAGGTTCGCCACGAGCAAGCTGCAGACAATTGTCCTTCCCCTGGGGACAATTGTTTTGTGATGAGCCTCAGTTTTGCCCCTCGGCCCAGGGAGGCCTCGGTCACTCGCTGCCTGGCCCCTGCGCAGCACAAGTCTGCGGCCGCCTCTGCTCAGAGCTGTTCCCTCCTCCCTGTCTTGATGGGAAACGGGTGATTTTCTACATTCGGAGTCAACACAACTGTGATCGATGTTTCAGGTTGTAGGTCAGTGACCTCGTGTGCTTTTTTGTTTTGTCTTACTGCAGTAAAATGCACACAACACCAAATAATCATTTTAACGGCACGGCTCAGCGGCACGAAGCACACTCACCCTGCCCTGCACCCACCCCCACCATCCGTCTCCAGAACCTTCCATCTCCCCACACGGAGACCCCGTCCCCAGGAAGCACGGACCCCCACCCCCTGCCCCACCCCTGGCTCCCACCACCTCCTCTCTGTCTCTGTGTCCTTCTGGGTCTGGGTCCCCTCCCTGAACCCGGTGTCCTGGGGGTCCATCCACATGGGGGCAGGTGTCGGGGTCCCTTCCTTCCTAAGGCTGGATCATACTCTATTGTATGGGTGGAACTCATTTATTTCTCCATTTCTCTGTGGATGGGCACCCGGGTTGTTTCCACTCACATGCTTTTCTATTTATTTATTTATTTATTTATTTATTTATTTATTTATTTATTTTTAATTTAATTTAATTTAATTTTTATTTTTTCACATGCTCTTTTAATGGCTTGGTTAAGCTTCCTACCTCTCCGATTTTTGCCTCGTGGGAGGTGGCAGATGCAGGCTTCCCATCCCCCATGACACTAGCTCATGCCTGCTGCTGCCCCTTCACTTCGCAGATGGGGAGACTGAGGCCCAGAGAGGGCAAGGACCGAAGTCATGCAGCTCGTGGGGGGGGGCGGGGGCAGGGCAGGGGTTCCAGTTCTCGGCCGAGCACTCCATGGAGGGTGGCCCCTGCCCCCGCAGCCTCCCCCGCCTGGCCTGCACCCACCGCGGCAGGGGACTCACCCTCAGAGCGTCGGGCTGGGCGAAGTAGAGGGCTCCGGCGACGAAGATGGAGATCCACATGTCGAAGAGCTGGGCCGACATGTAGCTGAGAGGGAGGTAGCTCACCAGGACCTCCTGCTCCTCCGGGGGGCACTTGTAAGACAGGCTCTGGGCGGTGGCCACCGTGGTCCAGGTGATCTGGGAGGCACCTGAGCCGTCACCCGCGGGCCATTCCCTTCTCCAGCCCAAGGAGCCCTCCTCCGTCCCCACGACCCCCGGAGCCCCAGACTGCCCCCCCTATGGGACACTCACATTGTCGTGGCTGAGCATCATGGCCTTCGGGGGGCCCGTAACGGACAGGCTGTAGACCAGGGTGCAGCACTGGTTGGGCTTCTGGGAGTCGATGACTCGGTCCAGCGTGTCTTCCGAGATGCCATCCGCCAGGTCCAGGAACCCTCTCCACTGCGGGGAGGCGGCGGGTGGGGGGCTCACAGTGATGGGTGGGGGGGCCCTCGAGTCCGAGACCTCAGCCCCTGCCGCGGCCCCCCAGCCTGCCCTCCCGGTGGCACGTACGGAGTACAGGTTCTGCAGCCGGGTCCGGATCTCCTCCTTGTACTGGACGATGGCCTTGAGGTGTTTCAAGTAGCCCTGGATCTGACACAGACCGTGGGGCTCGTGGGCGCGGGGGAGCCCCGAGCCCGTTTCCCCAGCACGTCCCACGTGGATGGCAAGGGCACCCCCCAATTTTCTTCTTCTTATGAAAAATGCACACGAATTTACCAGTTTAACCATCTCAAAGTGGACAGTCGAGCGGTATTTAGTGGGTTCAAAGTTATGCGACCGTCACCTCCAGTTCCAGAACATTCCGTCTCCCCGAAGGGATACCCAGTGCCCATCATTGGTAACTTCATGCCTCCGTCCTCCAGCCCCTGGCGACCACGAATCAATCCTCCCTGTCTCTACAGATCTGCCTATTCTGGATATTTCGTATGATTGGAATCATACATTACGTGGCATTTTGTGTTCGGCTTCTTTTGCTGAGCATCACGGATTTTTTTTTTAAAGATTTAATTTATTTATTCATGAGAGACACAGAGAGAGAGAAAGAGAGAGGCAGAGACACAGGCAGAGGGAGAAGCAGGCTCCCTGCAGGGAGCCCGATGCGGGACTCGACCCCAGGACCCCGGGTCATGCCCTGTGCCGAAGGCAGGCGCCAAATCGCTGAGCCACCCAGGGGTCCCCAGCATCACGGTTTTGAGGTCTATCCACGTCGGAGCATGGGTCAGCGCTTCCCTCCTTTTGTCGCCGAGTAACAGTCCAGCGTGTGGATGGGCCACAGTTTACTGTTCGGTGGCTGGTGGACGGCTGGGCGGTTCCCATGACTGGGCTGCTGTGAAAGTCTGCGTACAAGGTTGCACACGTTTTCCATCCTCTTGGGTAATGACCTCGGGGTGGAATCGCTGGGTCATATGACAACCCTACGGTTGACTTTCCGAGGAGCTGCCAGACTGTTTCCCACAGCGGCCACCCGTGCACGAGGGCTCCGGGGGCTTCACATCCTCTCCAGCACTTGTCACCTCCAGCACTTGTCACCTGCATATCTGATAACAGCCGTCTCCGTGGGTGTGAAGTGGCTTCTCCCTGGTGCTTCTCTCCCCACTTCCTGGATGACTTGGACGTTGAGCATCTTCTTCTGGGCTTGTTGGCCATTCCTGATTCTTCTCTGGAGAAATGTCTTAAGTCCTTGGCCCATTTCTGAACTGGGTTTCTGTCATCATTGCTGTGTTTTTTTTTTTTAATATTTAACTTATCTATTCATGAGAGACAGAGAGAGAGAGAGAGAGGCAGAGACACAGGCAGAGGGAGGAGCTGGCTCCATGCAGGGAGCCCGATGCAGGACTTGATCCCAGGACCCTGGGATCATGACCTGGGCCAAAGGCAGATGCTCAACTGCTGAGCCCCCAGGTGCCCCTAAATAATTCTTTTTTTAAAAAAAAAAGGAGAGTATTTTTTATATATATATAAAAATATATAAATATATACTTATATATTATATATAAATTTATATTATATATAAATACATTGTTAAAATTTTATATTTTATAAATTTATATTTAAAAATTTATATTTTATAAATGTATTTTTATTTATATATATTTATATATTTATATATAAATAAAATATATAAATATATATATTTTTAAAGATCTTTTATTTGTTTGTTCATGAGAGACACAAAGAGGCAGAGACACAGGCAGAGGGAGAAGCAGCTCCCTGCACATAGCCTGATGCAGGACTCGATCCCAGGACCCCGGGATCACACCCTGGGCTGAAGGCGGACACTCAACGGCTAAGCCACCCAGGCGTCCCCTGTGTTTTCCTTTTGATGTCCAGGGCTCCTGGACACGTTTGGAAGGCAGATTGCCCTGATTTCCCAGGCCGGCTGGGATACCCTAAGGTACCACGTATTGAGGCGGCCTGGGTGGTGGAGGGGGGCGGGTCTTGGGGTCTCTGCTCAGAATCTGGTAATCCCAGAATCAAGGTGTGGGAAGGCTGGGTTCCTCCTGGAGGCTCGGCGGCAGGATCGTTCATCTGGGAACTGGCACCTTTAGGTTGTTGGAAGAATTCAGTTCCCTGTAGGTACAGGCCTGCGGTCCTCCTGTCTCCTTGCTGGCTGGCTCTGGGGCCCTCCTCAGCTTCTGGGGCCACCATACTCCCTGGTTTCTTGTCCCTTCCTGCATTTTCAAAGCCTAAGCGGGGGTGGGGGTGGGGGCGAGGGGTTGGAGTTCCTCTCCGGCTCTGCATCCCTCAGCTTTCCCTTCAGCCTTATCTTTCCTGTCTCCAGCCAGAGAAAATTCTGTGCTTTGAAGGGCTCTCGCGATTATAGGGGAGCCACCCGGATAATCCAGGATCATCTCCCGGCTGAAGGGCCTTAATCTTAATCCCATCAGCGAAATCCCTTTGGCCACAAGAGGTGCCACGATCACAGGTTCCGGGGGATTAGGGTGTGGACATCCTTGGCCTCGTGGTGTGGATCACACAGCGCCAGCAGGATGGATTTCCTGAGAGAGGGGACTCAGGAATGGAGCCAGACTTTGGGTCCGAGCAGGTGGGAGGAGGAAGTTGCTGCCACTCAAGATGGGAAACACGGAGGAAAAAGCAGATTTTGCGGGGAAAGATCGGAAGTTTAGGTCCGGACAGGCATCATGGTGTGATTCCCGGGAAAACCGGGGATAAAGACGTGGGGAAGCACCAGCAGGTAGGTATCACCTGGGGAAGCACAGGTACAGGACACGAAGAGCAGCGGTCTGCCCGCCCGGGCCTGGCTCTCTGGTTCCGGTTTGGACAAGGGAGGAGGACACGAAGGAGCAGCTGGCGGGGAGAGCCGGGCAGTAAGAGTGTCATTATTTTCATCACCTGCTGGTCCCCTTAGGCGTCTGAGTTTGCAAACCCACGTCATCAGGGGCTCCCCTTCCAGGTGGACAATGAGCCAGGTCACATAAACCCTGTACAGACCTTGTCTTGGGTTTATATACTTATTTATTTAATAAACATTAAAAATTTTATTTTTAATAAAATGGGTGGCTCAGTGGTTTAGTGCCTGTCTTTGGCCCAGGGCGCGATCCTGGAGTCCCGGGATCAAGACCCGCATCGAGTTCCCTGCATGGAGCCTGCTTCTCCCTCTGCCTGTGTCTCTGCCTCTCTCTCTCTCTCTCTCTCTCTCTATCATGAACAAATAATTAAATAAATCTTTAAAAAAAATTAAAAATTTTGATTGCTGAAAAAAATAAGTAAAAAAATACGTAACAAACCTTACCATCTCAACCATTTTTAAGCATACAGTTTGTAGTGTTAAGTATATTTGCACTACTGTGAAACAGATCTCCAGAACCTTCCATCTCTCCACACGGAGACCCCGTCCCCAGAAAGCACTGACCCCCGCCCCCTGCCCCACCCCTGGCTCCCACCACCTCCTCTCTGTCTCTGTGCACAGGCCTCCTCTGGGGACCTCCTGGGAGTGGGGTCCTGCAGGAGGTGTCCTTCTGGGCCTGGGTCCCCTCCCTGAGCCCGGTGCCCTCGGGGTCCGTGCACGCGGGGGCAGATGTCGGGGCCCCTTCCTTTCTAGGGCTGAACAATATCCCAGCGTGTGGATGCCCCACATTGTGTTGATCCGTTCATCCATCCACGGACATCTGGGTTATTTCCACATTTTGAGTACTGTGAACACTGCTGCTGTGAACTTGAGTGTACCAAGATATCTTCGAGATCTTTCCTTCACTTCTTTCTGGTAAGTGTCCAGAAGATTGCTGGTAGCTGTAGTTTTGAGGCATCTCCACGCTGCATTCTGTGGTGGCTGCACCATCTTATGTTCTCACCCACGGAGGCTGGGATTTATTGAGGAATAATTGGCATGCAGTAAAAGTCACCTTCTTAGCTGTATAGTTTCAGGAGTCTTGACAAACATGGCAGTGGGACCGTCACCTAAATCAAGATCTGGGATACTTACATCACCCCATAGCATTTCCTCAGGCTCCTTCGTGGTCCGTTTCCTCCTTTCAACCTGGCAACCCCTGATCTAGACTTCTGTCCCCTCGCTTTGCCTTTGCTGGGGCTTCGCATATATGAAATCACACAGGGTGGCCTTCCCCCCGGTGTCCACCATTCAGCACATTTCAGATGCAGCCGCGTGATTACAGCCCCGTCACTGCTATTGTTTGGTGGGACGGATGGACCACTCTTTGTTCATCCAAATCACAGAAAAACAACTGGATCTTGTTTAACATCCCAGTGGGTGTTTCGTGGTGGCCCCGTCTTTGCCTACATGCCTCTGTCCACTTGTCATGGGTCCTCTTAGGGTCCCCATTTCACAGGGTTCAGCTCAGGCTGCAGGACGGGCAGGGACTGGCACAGAAGTGTCAGCTGTAGGACCATTACTGGTTCCCTATGGCATAGAGTTATAGGTGGTATGTGGGAGGAGGAGAAGACGTTTAGCCTCCCTCGCGGCGGCCGAACGTGGGTGGGCATAACCCTGATGTCCACCTCCTCTGGGTGCCCCGTATGCCCATGGATCTCTTCCCATCCCTCCTAGGAGCAAAGATCAAATCAGAATGACAATCCTATTGATGATCCTATTGACAATAGTGTTAGCGTTGAACACCGACGCTGAGAGGCTCTGTCCTAGCCCGTTTCAGGTTTACTTAGTTCATCCTTGGAACCAAAGCCATTAGGCAGGTCCTATGACCATTCCCATTTTACAGGTGAGGAAACCGAGGCACCAGGAAGCCAAACACCTCGCCCTAGGACCCAGCGTTAGTGGAGGTGGCCTTTGAGCCATGGAGCCCACACACCCAGAACCACCTCACTTGGATCAGCCCTGGGCCCAAGGAAATTCAGGATCTGTTGTACAGTTCCATTAAGATGAAACACCCAGAACAGGCAAATCCACATTGACAGAACGTGGGTCGGTGGTTGCCAGGGGCCGGGGCTGGGGGAATGAACAGTCCCCACTAATGGGCACAGGGCTTCCTTTTCAGGTGATGGAATGTTCTGGAACCAGACAGAGGTCATGGTTGCACAACACTATGAGTGCACTCAACGCCACTGAACGATACGCTAAAAAGCCCTACAATGGTAAATTGTATATTATGTGCAGTTTACCACAATTTTTTTTTAAGTGGGAAGAGAGGATCACCTTGCAGTGGGCACATCTAAGCTCCAGTTTGGGGTGTGTTTGGGGTCAGCCCCGGAGCCAGCACTGGGCAGGCTCTGACTCCCTCAGGCGCAAACACCTGCCACGACCAGCAGTGCGAGGGCCATTTGGCAGGAACAGCACATGCCTGGCACCTCGTTGGGGCCCCAGACCCATCCATCCACGGAGCCCACGGTTCCCAGCTTGTGGGTACCAGCGGGATGGATGGTGGGCGCACTGCTCATTGGACCCCTTTTCTTTACTAGGCAGGGGCTGTGCCTTTGCCTAACTGTGCCCTCCCCCAGGCGAGCCCCCTGGCGCCCGCAGGCCCCAGAGTCACTAACCTGGATGACTTTCTGCAGCTGTCTGTCGTTATCCACCACAAAGATGTCTATCTCCGAGCTTTCGGCGATGACCTGGCAGGCCTTCGGGGAGTTGGTGGACAAGATGCCAACAGAGAAGCCTCTGGAAGCAGAACCCAAGAGGTGAGGACCCACTGGTGGATTGCAAGGCTGCCCAGAGGCTGGTTTTACCAAAGGAGAGACAGTCTCTGAGGCAGGGCACAGAGTGTGGGGGACATGCCCTGGCACCCACGGCACGCCTTGCTTGAAGGTGGGACTCGGGGACAGCTTGGGCATGGGGCCTGCCCTCTAGGGGCTCCCCTATGGTCTGGGCAAGGCGGGGAGGGCTCAATGCTGGAGGACCCTGGGGAGTGGAGAAGGCTTTTTGGAGGAGGGCTCAGGGCAGCCGAGCTTCGCAGGATGTGTGTGAGCTCGACGGGTAGAGAATGTCAGGAAGGCTGGTGGGCGCCCAGGGCTGAGCCCTTGACAAATCCCATGGAGCCCAGACCGAGCAGGAGCCCTCGTCTGCTCCCGAACTGGGGGCTCTTCCATGAGGCCCCTATGGATTCAAGATAGAGGATGAAGCTTTGCTGGGTGGGTGGCTTCCCGACCCCCTGTACCCCAGGAAGACACCAGGTCCCTCTTACCCTGCCATGATGGCACCGATGCTGGCGATGACCCACTCCTGTGAGTTTAGCCCCATGATCCCCACGCTGTGGAAGCGCTCCAGGCCCAGCTGGGGAAGGAAGCCCTCGTGAGGCACGGGCAGGCTCCCCCGCCACTTGCCCCCACCTGCTTGGGAGCCTCAGAACCTTGGGCCCCCTTTTCTCTGTTGACCATTTGTGCTTCTGTTGGCTGATGAAATAGCCCATCCGTCCCCCTTACAGGCTACCACAGAGTCACCCAGAGCTGTGGTTCTCAACAGGGATGATCCCGCCTCCCCGTATGACTTTGGGCAACATCTGGAGGCATTCTGGGGGAAGGGAGTGGTGCTGCCATCGAGTGGGGGGGCACGAGGCATGCTGAGAAGCATCCTCTAAGGTACATACAGCACAGACCCCTCCGAAAGAATGATCCAGCCCCAAATGTCGGTAATACGGGAATCGCAGAACCTTGAGGAAATACAAACAAAACGCACCCACCCCCAATATTTTTTTTTAATTTGACAAAATCAGGGCAGTGGTAGGTCTATATTTTCATAACCTGCCATGGTCATAAAACCACACATCCTATTTTCCCAGCCTTTACATATTTCTCATGGTATCAAATGTAACACCTTTATGATACTGTGTAATATAGAAATGTCATAATTTAGGGGCACCTGGGTGGCTCAGTTGGTGAAGCATCTGCCTTCGGCGCAGGTCATGATCTCAGGGTCCGGGGATTGAGCCCCAGATTGGGGGGGGGGTTTCTGCTCAGTGGGGAGTCTGCTTCTTTCCCTGCCCCTCTCTCATTCTGTCTCTTAAATAAATAAATAAAATCTTAAAAAAATATCATGATCTAGTGACATCCCCCCCTTACTGGTTGATACTTAGGTACGATCCTTTTTCCTCTTCACTTTTATTAGATAAAATGCTGGGGTGAACATCTGCATAGTTCAAGCCCTGGATACCCACGTGATTATTTGTGCTGACGTAGGATTGACTTAAAAATTCAAGAGGGTGGACCATTCATCCATTTTGGCAGAACCAGGGGATCCCCAGGTGGGCCCTTCCTGTCCACTGCAGACTCCTGCGTACAGCTGCCACTCTTGGTGTCCTTGTCTAAAGAGGGCATCACAGGGACGCCTGGATGGCTCAGCGGTTGAGCGTCTGCCTTCGGCTCAGGGCATGATCCCGGGGTTCTGGGATCGAGTCCCACATAGGGCTCCCTGCAGGGAGCCTGCTTCTCCCTCTGCCTGTGTCTCTGCCTCTCTCGCTGTCTCTCTCGAATAAATAAATAAAATCTTAAAAAAAAATAGGGCTTCACAAACTCAACATGGTCCAAACAGAATTACTAAAGTTGCCCACTCCCCTCTGCCGACCCTGCCTTCCGCAGTCTCAGTTAACAGCAGGGGCCAGAAATCTGGATAATCCTCAGCACCTTTCTTTCTCCCAGACACCTAGACCATTAAGAAATGATGTTGGCTCTGCCTTCAGAATGTGACCACTTCTCATCCCCCCCTCCTGAGGCCGTACATATCCAAAACATCTTCATCTCAACCTCAACTGGTCTCTCTTTTTGCGCCCATTCTGTTCTCTCTGCAGCAGCCAGAAGGTGCCTGTGAGCACCCAACTCCGGGCACACCCCTCTGCTCACAGCCGGCCATGGCTCCCATCTCACTCCTCGCAAAAGCTCCATAGGCCCAGCAAGACCTGTTCTCAGTACTCCCTGCCCTCCCCACCTCCCTCTCTCCCCCTCACCCACTCTGCTTCAGCCACATGGGCCTCTTTGCCATTCAGCCAACACACCAGCCACTGTCCTGCCCCGGGACCTTTGTGCATTTGTTCCCACTGCTTGCAACACATACCCCCAAATAGTTAGATGCCCCCTCCTGCCTCCCAGTTATTTAAGTCTTTGTTGAACTATCACTCTCAGAGAGGTTCTGACTGGCCACCCCGTGGTAATATTTCAACCCTGCCTCAGCTCATCTACCCCTTTCCCTGTCTACTTCCTTCATACTTGTTCATTATATTGACTGGACAAGTCCCTAGAGGTCTCTCATCCCCATTTCCTAATCTGATAAGTGGGCAGTCATTCATTGAAGACAAACCCAAGGGGCTGGTGCTGCTGTGTATTTTGGGGGCTTGCACTGCATGAGGCGTCTGGCCCCTCACCCTCATGAACGGACCAACTAAACAAACACGTTATACAACCATGTTACCATGTGGCTATGAGAGCTGGGCAGAAAATTGTCGAAGGGGCTATGATAGAGAGCATGGCGGGGGTGGGGAGTTTGAGGACCCAGGGTGATCAGGGTGACCTAACTCAAATGATGAGACTTTGAGGGGCCCCCGGGTGGCTCAGTCGGTTGAGCATCCAACTTCTGAAGTTGGCTCAACTACAAGGTCATCATATCAGGGTCATGAGATTGAGTCCAGGGTCAGGCCCTGTGCTCAGTGGGGAGTCTGCTTGAGATCCTCTCTCCCTCTGCCCCTCCTAACCCAATCAATAAACAAATCTTAAAAAAAAAAAAAAGATGAGACATTGGGGAACAGACACATTACCAACAACAGCCATAAGAATATAGCTAAAGCTGATGTCACGATCAGGGTGAGCCAGGGGCTGTTTGATATGTGTAAACTCCCTGAATTCTCCTAACAAACCCTTGTGCTAGATGTTTTTATATTGTATTTTATATATTTGTACATAAAATGCTAATAGAAAATAGAAAATGCTAATAGAAATAATGGTACCAAATTTAATAAAAATAAAATATAAAATGGACATGTCCATATGTAACTTTTTTATTTTGAATATCATATATGTATAAAATTCCCATTTTACAGATGGGGAAACTGAAGCGCGGTGAGGATGAGTAATTTTTTAAAAAATGGAAGTACAGCTAACACATAATGTTCCACGATGCGCACAACGCAGTGTTTCCCCAAGTCTGTACATGATGTTATGCTCACAAATGTAGCCTAAGTAATTTTCTAGCACAAAAATCACGGGCATTTAGAGACAGCCCACGGTGAGGGAGGTTAAGTGATGCCAGCAGGGATGCGCAGGTGAGGGCGGAGCCAGAGGAAAGGATGCAGGTACAGTTCAGGCCTCCCCGGTGGGAGGGGCGCAGAAGGGGGAGGGGCGTGTTGGTGGGAGGGGCGCAGCAGGAGGAGGGGCGTGTCGGTGGGAGGGGCATAGAAGGGGAGGGGCGTGTCGGTGGGAGGGGCAGGAGGAGGGGCGTGTCGGTGGGCAGCAGGAGGGGCGTGTCGGTGGGAGGGGTGCAGAAGGGGAGGGGCGTGTCGGTGGGAGGGGCAGCAGGAGGGGCGTGTCGGTGGGAGGGGCGCAGGAGGGGGGGCGTGTCGGTGGGAGGGCGCAGGAGGAGAAGGGGCGTGTGCTGAGAGGGGCGAGCCGCGGAGTGGCGCGCAGGCGCGGTGGCGCAGGCGTGGCAGTGCGCAGGCGCAGAGGGGCGGACGGCGCGCGGCCCGCGGCCCGCGGCCGGAGCGCACGTGGTACCTTGAGGAAGGCCTTGGCTGCGCGGCGGCACTCCTCGTAGTACTCGACGTAGGTGAGCAGGTGCCAGCCGTTCCTGTGCTTGGAGCCCAGCGCGATGCAGTTGGCGTACTTGATGGCCGTGTTCATGACCATGTCGTGCACGGTGACGGGCGGCTGGCTGGTGAAGGCGTCCTCCTGCCGCAGGGCCACCTCGCCGTCGCGCTTGGACGTCCAGTAGCGGAAGCCTGTGGGCAGGCGGGGTTCGGGGGCAGGGAGACCCCAGGTGGGTGACGGCGGGGGCGGGGCTGGGGCTCGGATGCGGGGAGCGGGTGCAGAAAGCGGGGGACAGTGCGGGGTGGGGTGAGGAGGAGACAGGCATGGCGGACAGAGGAAGACAGAGACACGCAGGAGGCCGCAGGTGGACAGACAGACGCCCCAGCCGGAGGGTGGAGGGACGGTGGACAGACGGACGCCCGGCCCTGAGGGTCGAAGGACAGTGGACAGACAGATGCCCCATCCCCGAGGGTGGAGGGACAGTGGACGGACAGACACGCCGCAGCCCGGAGGGCGGAAGGATAGCGGACAGACAGACGCCCCAGCCGAGGGCGGAGGGACGGTGGACAGACAGACGCCGGCCCCGAGGGTGGAGGGACGGTGGACAGACAGACGCGCGGCCCCAAGGGTGCAGGGACGGTGGACAGACAGACGCCCGGCCCCGAGGGTGGAGGGACGGTGGACAGACAGACGCGCGGCCCCAAGGGTGCAGGGACGGTGGACAGACGGACGCCCGGCCCCGAGGGTGCAGGGACGGTGGACAGACGGACGCCCGGCCCCGAGGGCGGAGGGACGGTGGACAGACGGACGCCCGGCCCCGAGGGCGGAGGGACGGTGGACAGACGGACGCCCGGCCCCGAGGGCGGAGGGACGGTGGACAGAGGGACGCCCGGCCCCGAGGGCGGAGGGACGGTGGACAGACGGACGCCCGGCCCCGAGGGCGGAGGGACGGTGGACAGACGGACGCCCGGCCCGAGGGTGCAGGGACGGTGGACAGACTGACGCCCGGCCCGAGGGCGGAGGTCAGCAGCAGCCCCACCAGCGAGCTGGCAGCTGGGCAACAGGCCCGAGGCCCCTCCGTGGACCCCCCAAGGACCAAGCACCTCTGAGCCCCGTGCCCACCTCGTAAGCCCCCTCCTGTCTCCCAGCCGCCGGCCAGCCTCCCCCAGCACCCCGACCCCACCTCAGGGACCGCGGGGCTGGCCCAGCCGCCCTTGGCGTCCCTGCCTGGGAGGCCACCCCCAGGGCCCGCGGAGCCCCCCACCTCGGGCTTTCATTTCTGGTCCGTGACCTGTGTCTGTTGGACTCCGCGTCTTGCGTGAGGTCATGGCGTGCGGAGTCCTCGGCCTCTCGTCTTACTGCCTGCGGGGCATCTGGCCTCCTGGGACGGAACAGCCAGCCAGTCAGGAAAACACAGTTGGTCCATGAAGGGCTGGGAGTGTCCAGCTGTGGGGGGGCCCGGGGGGCCCACCTAGTCATGGGGGCGGTCAGGGAAGGCTGTTTTGACCAGTGGGGTGGGAGGTGATGAGGCAGAGGAGGGAGGAACATCCGAGGGAGCAATGCCTGGAGGCCATCAGGGCTGGAGTGTAAAGAAAAGCGGGGGGATCCCTGCGTGGCGCAGTGGTTTAGCGCCTGCCTTTGGCCCAGGGCACCATCCTGGAGACCCGGGATCGAGTCCCACGTTGGGCTCCCGGTGCATGGAGCCTGCTTCTCCCTCTGCCTGTGTCTCTGCCTCTCTCTCTCTCTGCCTCTCTCTCTGTGTGGGGTCAGCTCGGGGTCTTGCTGGCCGTACCTATTGCTTTCCAGTACCTTGTGTCCACCCCCACCCAGTGTGTGCAGACTGGTTCACCCCAGGCGGGGGCTGAAGCGTCTCACGCCCCCAGCCCTTGCCTTCCACCCACCACACATTTTCACCCATCTCTGTCGTCAGGAAGGCAGTGCCCACTTCTATCTCCCACTTCTTTTCATCAGCTTTGGTCACCGCCCCCCTGCTCTTAGGGGGACAACAGTCTCTAGCCTGGATGTCCAGAATGTTCCTGCCTATGGCCGGCCTCTGTGACTTCACTGTGGATTCCATAGCCTGGAGCCATGATGGTGACCTGGCCTGTTGCTGCTCAGCAGAGGCCCGTCTTAGGGGATGGTGGCGGGGGTGGGATCTGCACACACAGCCAGTGGTTCTTCCCCAGGGAGGAACCAGCAGCAAAGTCTTGGGTTTGAGTGTGACACCTGGAGGGACTTAGTAGCCCCTGTCCAGCACTGTTAGCTTCGGGTGACAAAGTTCACAGGCGGACCAGAAAGGGAGCAGTGAGGTGCAGGAGGCACCGTGGAAGGCGTGAGGCCTAGGCACGTCGCAGAGGCCAGGGAAGCCCAGTGTTTGAAAGAGCCAGTTAAGGTCGGCAGACCCCGAGGCTCCCAGCAGGTCAAGAAAGGCTTTGAGCCGCTGTGCCCGGGGGTTCGGGGGTTCGGGAGTTCATCCGTCCGTGAGGCACAGTCCCGAGCTAGAATAGTCTCCCAGATGTGCATACAGCTGCATTTCACAGATGTTGGATGCTGTTGAGGTCGAAAAACTAAAAGGTCTTTTAAAGGCCTCTGTGTGTGTTGGGGTGGGGGGTGGGCCCTGGTGGCTCAGGTGGTTAAGCATCTGCCTTCGGCTTGGGTCCTGATCCCCGGATCCTGGGATGGAGCCCCACGTTGGGCTCCCTGCTCAGCAGGCAGTCTGCTTCTCCGTCTCCCTCTGCCCCTGCTCATGTTCTCTCTTTCTAATAAGTAAAATCTTAAAAAAAAAAAAAGGCCTCTTTGATTCCTCAAAAAATCAAACGTAGAATTACCATATGACCCAGCAATCCCATTTCTGGGGAGATATCCAAGGGAATTGAAAGTAGGGACTAGGGATCCCTGGGTGGCGCAGCGGTTTGGCGCCTGCCTTTGGCCCAGGGCGTGATCCTGGAGACCCGGGATCGAATCCCACGTCGGGCTCCCGGTGCATGGAGCCTGCTTCTCCCTCTGCCTGTGTCTCTGCCTCTCTCTCTCTCTCTCTGTATGACTATCATAAATAATAATAATAATAATAATAATAATAATAATAATAAAAGAAAGTAGGGACTAGAAGAGATTTTGGACACTCACGTTCTCAGCTGTGTGACTCGTAATAGTTAAAAAGAACCCACTGTCCATTGATGGATGAAGGATAAACCCAACATGGTGCATCCATGCAGTGGAATATGATACAGCCTTAAAAAAGGAAGGCCGTGCCACCACCAGCTACAACGTTGACGAACCTTGGGGACGTTGTGCTCAGGGCCATAAGCCAGACACAAAAGCCCTACAGTTGTGAAGCCATCACTGTAATCAACCCGAAAAGTTCCCTTGTGCCTGTGTGGGCTGGACCTCGCTCCTCATCCCGGCCTCGGGCAACTACTGATCTGCTCCCTGGCTCCGTAGTTCTGCCTTTATTAGGGGCGCCTGGGGGGCTCCGTCCATTAAGAGTCTGCCTGGGTCGTGATTCCGGAGTCCTGGGATCCCGCTTCTCCCTCTCCCTCTGCTCTTCCCTCCTGATTATCCTTACTCTTTCTCAGATATATAAAATCTTTTTTAAATGTGTAGTCTTTTGTGTCTCGCTTCTTCCACTTAGCATAAGTTCACCTACGTGCTGCAGTTCATGCATTTTTATGGTTGAGGAGCATCCCGTTATTTGGAAGTACTGTGTTTTGTCCATTGATTCATTGGTTGGTGGACATTTGGGTTTTCTCCTAGCGTTTGGTGATTGTGGGTAGAGCTGCTGTGAACATTCGTGTACAAGTTCTTGTGTCGTTTCTCTTTGGGGTATACCTAGGAGCTGAATTGCCGGGTCGTATAGTAACTCCGTGTGTAACATTTTAAGAAACTTCTAAACTGCTTTCCAAAGTGGCTGTGCTGTTCCGCATTCCCTCCAGTGAGGGATACGGGTTCGAGCTTCTCCAGATCCTCGCTGACACTTGGTATTACCAGATTTTAAATTTTTAGCCATCCTGGTGGGGGTGAAAGCTCTCTCTCGTTGTAGTTTTAGTTTGCATTTCCCTGAGGATTAGTGACGCAAGTCATCTTTTCACATGCTTAGTGGCCGTTTGTCTGTCTTTAGAAACATGTTCAATCAAATCCTTTGCCCATTTTAAAATTTATTCATTTGTCTATTGTTGAGTTGTAAGGGTTCTTTACATATTCTGGTTGCAAGTCCTTTAGCAGATACGTGATTCTTAAATACTTTTGTCTTTTCAGTTTCAAAGTTGACATTTACTTGACAGTATCTTTTGAAGGGCAAGAGTTTTTAATTCTGGTGAAGTCCAGGTGTGTCATTTCTTAACAGTGTGTGCTTTGGTATCATGTCTAAGACATCTTTTCCTAATCCAAGGGCACAAAGATGTTCTCATTTTCCCCGAAAGTGTAGTTTTGGCTTTTGTGTTTAGGTGTATGATGCACTTTGAGTCAGTTTTTATGTGTAGCATGCGGTGAGGGCTGGTATTCTCTCGTTTTGTTTTTGGAATATTATTCCAGCATTATTTATTGAAAAGACTGCCCTTTCCCCCACTGAACCACCGTGGCACCTTTATCAAAAATTAGTTGACCATAAATAATGCCAGTTCATTTCTGGACTCTCTGTCTCATTGATCTTCTGCCATGCTGTCTTGGTCAATAGCTTTATGGTGAGTTGTTACAACCAAAGTCCTGCATCTTTGTTCTTTTATTAAAGGCAAGGATCTGGGGATCCCTGGTGGCTCAGGGGTTTGGCGCCTGCCTTTGGCCCAGGGTGCGTTCCTGGAGACCCGGGATGGAGTACGTCAGGCTCCCGGCATGGAGCCTGCTTCTCCCTCTGCCTGTGTCTCTGCCTCTCTCTCTCTCTCTCTCTCTCTCTCTCTCTATCATAAATGAATAAATAAATCTTAAATAAGTAAGTAAGTAAGTAAATAAATAAAGGCAAGGATCTGGTGGACGGCAGGAGAGGAAGAGTAAGTCATCATGGGAGACACAAGGACTAGGAACGGGCAGGCTCTTCATGACAGCATGGGAGGGCTCAAGAAAAATGACAGGCTCTGAGTTCAAATTGTTATCTCGAATATGTTCAG